CGCCCGGCCCCCGCCCTGGACCTGGATGCTCCCGTTCAATTGGGAACGGGCCGTCCTTCCTCCCGGGAGTGGTTCCTCTGCTGGGCTTAGGCAGGTGAACTCAGGTCAAGCCAGAGCCCCGCCGCGGCCACGCAGCCTGTGCGTGATGTCCGAGTAACAGTGGACGCCGCAGGATTTGTGCAGGATCTCGTCCAGCTCTTGCTTGCGCGGGGAGAGATACCGGCGTAGGTAGGTTTCAGCGAAGCCATTATTGCGAAGGTATAGATGTGAAAAGCAGCAGAAACCAAACCCCCAACAGCACGGATTTCCCCTCCGCGTCCCCCCAAGGTCCCCTTTTCTATTTATGTGTGCGCGTATGTACATACAAAAGATGGAACACAGATTTCATTGAATAAATCTGAGGTCTCCAGGTGCAGACGTCTGCAGGGTCGGTGCCAGCACCCCGTGTTTCCCTTTCCTGCCGATTTTGCTTGGATCCGGCTCAAAAACCCAGAGTCTCGTGGTTTTGTTTACACTGAATGGGGAGGATAGGAACAGAGCCATGGGCCGTCTTTCATTAATATACAGTGAGGATTTTGTCTAAATTACTGCTATGAATTTCACAGTGCACGCTTTCAAAAGCAGTCTCAGGTGGCCTGATGAAACGCGATAGCGCCTCTGCAAACAGATCCGCTTTCTTTCTGCTCCAGGAGGGCGTGCGTGCTGTGGGAAGCCCCCGAACGCAGCGCTCCTCCGTCAGAGAAATACACTGCTACTCTGAGGTTCGTCCCCGCCGTCCCCCCTTTTCTCCTACTTAGTTCTCCAGTCGCTCCCGAGCCTCCCCCAGCCTCACTCCACTTGCCCCCTCCCTCTGCGAGTGTGATTGTTTTGTCTGGAAAAAAAAATCCAAAGTATATAACAAGGGGAGAACAGTTAGTGCTGATTTTCATTTGCATACATTTTCATATATTTTGGTGAAAATAATAGACTAGTGGAGAGCTGGGCTCGGAGGAGTCAGTGTGAAGGGAAGGCTAAGGATGCATCGTTCTGGGGAGTTGAGAATATGCCTTCACCGCCTCCAGTCACTTGATTGAAAAAAAAATCTCTTATTTTAAAATCTAACCCCGGAAGTTTGTTGGGTAAGTGTTTTTCATCTTCTCTCCCTGCTTTCTCTTTCCCTGCCCCTTCTTTCGGCGTGTGAATGCTCGGGTAGGTTTGGGAGCTTGTTCTCATTGCTTGGGACAAGAGAGGGTTCACAGAGTGATCCTTTGCAGTAGGAGGGGGAAGTGTGCTGGGGGGGGGGGAGTAAAAACCACCCAGCCCTGCTAAAATATTATACAAAAAGATGCACTCATTCCAAAGCTCCCGCAGCAAGGCACTTTGGGGGTGGGGGAGAGCGCTATCAGTTTTAATTGTTGATTGTGACGGGGCAAAGGGCCCTAGAAAAGAAGCGCGTATAAAGCGCGCAGTATCATAAGCATTTCTTGTTTGGAGAATTAAAAAAAAAAAAAAAAGAGGACCAGAGGGAGAGAACTGCCATTTCTGTAGCCCGTGCTGAGGGGTGAACTGTGTGCCTGCTTGGGACTGGGGTGAGGGGATTCCTGCTGGGAACAGGGGTGGAGTGGAGGGGGCTCCGCAAGGGAGGGCAAAGGGCTGGAGATGGAGGAAGCAGGGGAGGAAGAAGAGGCAGGAAGTCCTGCACCGGGGTTAGAACCACCGCCGGGAGCTGGCGGCTGTGCAGCTCCCAGCTTCTGGTGGAGCGTTGGTCAGCAGAGGGTGATCAATCAAAACTAAGCAGGGCACCCTACCCTTTACTGCCGAAGGCTGGAGCTGGAGCATCGAACGCTGGGTTTTACTGTTTCTCATATTTGACAGTCGGCCTGGCCCCCTCCTAGCCACTGCCCCGGGGTTTTGTAAAAATTAAGGGTGCAGTTACTTGCTAGATGCAGTTAATTAGATAAACATGGCTGGAGGAAATGGCTAGGCCAGTTCCAAGCCGGAGGGGGCACC